ATTGTTAGGTATATTATTTTTATTTTATATTTATTAGTTTGTTATTAATTTTTATTTGTATTTTGAATTTAGCCCATATTTTTTCTATTATAAATAGGAGACTCTACGTGTATATTTAACACACAGGAGATTAATTTTATATATAATTTTTCACTATATTCAACATGATATCTAGAGTCAGGTTCTTTTGAGTACACAAAATTCTTATTGCCTCTGCCACTACACCAGCGCCATTGTCTATAGTTGTCACTAATGGAGTTCTAGTTTCGACCAACGATCACATGGTTTTGATTGTCTCGGCCAGGCAACCATCATGCCATCAACGACGCCTTCATCAGAGCTCCTATGTGCTCTTAGCGCCTTTTAAAGGTGTGGATCTGCTCCTTTTTCTGTCATGCATTGTGACACGTCTCAGAGCGATTTAGAGCATCCAGGTCGCTCTTTTTTCTCTTTTAGGTTCATGGTGTGTTCTCACACGTCTCATCTCCTACAACTTCAACAATTGAGTCTACCCTTCCAAGTGCCCTCCGAAAAGGTATACGTTCTACTCATAATCCTCTCCATATTATCTTGCTTTAAGTTATCATAGATTGTCTTCATCTTTTTATACATGCCTTTCGTCTATTTCTTTTGTGACCATCCCAAAATCTGTTATTGATGCCTTAGCCCATCCTGGTTGGCATCAGGCCATGCTAGATGAACTAAGTGCCCTTCAGAGTAATGGAACTTGGAAGCTTGTCCCATTACTGTCTGAAAAATTTGTTGTTGGTTGCAAGTGGAATTTTTCTATCAAAGTTGGTTCTAATGGAACTATTGATCGCCTCGAAGCTCGTCTTGTGGCTAAAGGTTACACACAAATTTTTAGGTTGGATTATGGTGATACTTTTTCTCCAGTGACAAAGATGACATCTGTTCGTTTATTTATAATAGCAGCTCTTCAACAATGACATCTTTATCAATTAGATGTCAAAAATGCATTCCTTAACAAAGATCTACAAGAAGAGATTTATATGGAGCAACCTCCAGGATTTGTTGCTTAAGGGGAGTCGTCTGGGTTGGTATGTCGTCTTCGCAAATCCTTTATGGCCTAAAACAATCTCCTAGGGTCGGGTTTGGAAAATTTAGTAATGTTATGACTAGGTGTGAGGTAGATCATTTAGTCTTTTACCGTCACTCGAGTTTTGGATTTGTCTACTTCATAGTATGTATTGATGACATTGTTCTTACAAAAAGTGATAGTGATGACATCTCTCAAATGAAACAACATCTTCTTAACCATTTTCAGACCAAAGATCTTGGCAAACTTAGATATTTCTTAAGTATTGAGGTGACACAATCCAACGATGGTATTGTTATATCTCAAAGGAAATATGCACTGGATATTTTGAAGGAAACTAGGTTGATGAATTCAAAACATGTGGACACACCCATGGATCCTAATACCAAACTTCTATCAAAACGGGGAGAGTCTATGTCAGATCCCAAGAAATATAGAAGACTAGTTGGAAAATTAAGTTATCTTACAATTACTCGTCCTGACATTTCCTTTATAGTTAGTGTGGTAAGCCAATTCCTTAATTTTCCCATGTGAAAATCATTGGAAAGCAGTTATTCGTATATTAAAGTACATTAAAGGATCTCCTGGAAAAGGGTTGTTATATGGTTCTAGTAACCATACAAGAGTGTTTTGTTATTCTGGTGCTAATTGGGCAGGATCTCCTTCTGATAGAAGATCTACTACATCTGGATATTGTGTCTCCATTGTGGTAACTTGATCTCATGGAAAAGCAAGAAACAGAGTGTTGTGGCAAGATCTAGTGCAGAAGCAGAATATATAGTTGTGGCCTCAACCACTTGTGAGCTTGTTTTTGGCTTAAGCAATTTCTCAGAGAGTTACAATTTGGAGATATCATTCAAATGACGCTTATATGTGACAATCAAGTTGCTCTTCATATTAGTTATAATCTTGTCTTCCATGAGAGGACCAAACACATTGAGACTGATTATCATTTCATTCGAGAGAAAATTGTATCTAGAGATATCAAGATTGAGTTCGTCAATTCAAGTAATCAATTAGCAAATATTTTCACTCAGTCTTTATGGAGACCGAAAATTGATTATATTTGTAACAAGTTTGGTACATACAATTTGTATGCACCAACTTGAGAGGGAGTGTTAGATATATTATCTTTATTTTATATTTATCTTTTATCTTTAGTTTGTTTGTTATTACTTTTTATTTGTATTTTGGACTTAGTCCATATTTCTTGTGTACATTCAACACAAGGGAGATTAATCTCATATAGTTTTTCATATATTCAAAACATATGTGTTTTCACTTAAGAAATAATTGTGATTAATCATATTTATTACTAGAAGTCCAAAGAATATTCATATTTAATTATGTATTAAAACAAAATAAAAGAAGCGTATTGAAAATTTCAGGTTTAATTTACAGTTATTCACATTTAGGTATTTTATTCATTTTAATCTTAATATATATGTTTTTATTTAATTTTTTTTTAGTTTTTAAAAAATTCGATGTGATTCTTTTATGAAATTGACTTGAAAAGTATAATGTGTTATAATGGTCATTTTTAATATTTTGTAAATTCTTTCTCCACCTCACACCACCTTGCACAACATTTCAAATGCAAGGCCTAACCTTTAAATGGAAAAGGTCTCAAATAAATTGAATGCAACATTAAACCAAACTTTTCTTTCCTTTAAACACTCTCCCAATCACAGAAACCTTATGCAATTAGAACTTATAGAGTTAATAAAAGATAACTTTATTACTAATAAATATATCCGTGTTTATCATTAATTGACTATATCAACTACTAATATTAATTAAATACATTAAATGAATTTTAATTTTCTCCAATTAATTAATACTAGCCACTCCTTATGTAAAAAATATATCACAACCATAAATTTATCAAATAACATTTGTTTTAGAAGAAAATATACCAAACTTTTCTTAATATATAATAGTTGTATAAAAAGTTTTTTTTTTTTTGCAAGTCAATCAATTAAAATTGTCTTTTTATTCACAGGAGAGTTGATATGAATAATTAAATTATATTCTGATTTGAGTTTTATGTGTAACATATAGAATTTTTTTTAATTTAATTAAGTTAAAGTAAAGTTAATGAACTGTGATTAATTTTAAAGAATAAATATTTTACTAAATTATTTAATACTATATTATGATTATAATAATTAGTATAGGTTGAATAAAGGATATATATATATATATTTGAGTTTTATGTGTAACATATAGAACTTTTTTAATTTAATTAATTTAAAGTAAAGTTAATGAACTGTAATTAAATTTAAAGAATAAATATTTTACTAAATTATTTAATACTAAAAGTATGATTATAATAATAGTATAGGTTGAATAAAGGCTATATATATACACATGCAACTCTCACTGTTTTAAGAAAAGCACATAAACTTCTTTATGCCCTTCTCTGTAAATCTTGATAGTCACAGGTTCATATCATTTTCTAATACGATATCTGCTTTTTTTTTCTTTTTTTTTTCAGGATATTCATATGAGAATATGCACATAAAATTGAGAGACTAAAATATATTCTACAGGAATCTTTTCAACCTATTTTTCTTGTATTATCTCATTTTCTTGATTACATATATCTACCATTTGTTATATTTTTCTTAGTTTGCTCTATGAAAATGGAGAAGTACAGTAATCTTGTAGCACAGTTCTTTGTGTCTTTTCACTCATTTAAGATCTATATATTACAAAACCTCCTCAAATTCAATGGAATAAATTTCAACCTTTTTATACTATATTTTTTCTTTTGTATCTAGTTGATTTACTTAAACTGTCTTTCAGGCTTACAAAATATTAAATTACATTCCTATTTTTTCATTATATAACTCTTCTTTTTGTTGGTCTGCAGAAATTGTTTAATTGTTTCAACAAAGAACAACTCTTTGTATTAATATATATATATATATATATATATATATATATATATATATATATATATATATATATATATATGATAATTTATTTTTGTACGTATGAAAAAGTTTTAAATGCACAAAATTCTTTTTATCAGTAAAATTATTATAAATCAAAATCAGGTACGTTTTACAATCCTTTAACAAAATATTTATATATGAATTTAATTTATAGATTTCCTTAATCTTTTGGATTTTACATAGAACAGACATTTGTTTTAGAAAAATATTCCACCACAAATATATAATTTTAACTTCAATAGATATGTTTCTAAAAAATAGTTAAAATCATAAATAGAAAAAACACACCAATTTGAAATAATATTTTAAAAAAGAGTAAATTATAAACATTTTTTTTAAGTTTTCTTGGATTACACTATTATTTGAGGTGTTTTAGTTTTACACAAATTTCTTCTTTATTTTTAAAACATTACGTTGTCCATTTTCTATATTATATACAATCATTTCTTCAAAGTTTACATTATGTATTTCTTTAAATTTTAAAAAGCATTAGACTTGACCCTTAAAAGAGGTTACTATAAAAAGTATAATTGTAATTTTGAAAAGAACTGTGATAAAAAAGGAACGGGGGTATAACTGTAATTTAAAAGTTCAAGAAATCTCAACACAATTGAAATAAACTCGCACGTACATGTCCAATTCACTAAAGTTTTTATTAGAAGTTTTTATAACCTTTTATCTTTATTTTATTTTCTTAATTTTTTGCGGAATTATAATAATTTTCTTTATTGCTAAAGGTTATTGTCAAAGAAGAAGATAGAATAAAAAAGAGAGAATAATTTGCTAATTGCATACACAGATCGGGTACGCATTATCTACTCATTTCCTTTTCATTGTTTATTTATTTTTCTCCATTTTTTTCTTATTGGAGGTAAAGATTAAGATTAATTAACTTCTAAATCTTTTAAAAATTAATATATTTTTAATTGATTTTTTTAAAAGAATTTATTTTTAAACTTTTTATATTTTCAATTAAATAATTATTATTTAATTTTTCTATTAATTAGGTGCTGTGAATATTATTGTATTTATGATATTAGTAAATTTTTAATAAAGTTAATTAATTTTCTTAATAAATTTAATATTTTTTCTTAATGCACTTAATGATGAAAAATTTATTAAGAAAAAAAAATTAAGTGCATTATTAAGAAAAAAAAATTATTAAGTGCATTTCTCTTGGAATTGCCTAATTTTTTTAAAAAGTCAAAATACATAGTAAAGTAAAATATATAAAAAGTAATTTTGATTTTAAAAGAATCATTGAACTTAATTATTGTTAATAGTTTAACTAAGGCTTTAAAATGCCAATATATATAGAAAAGGAAATAATAGCAATATTGGTTGTGCCCACTATGATCTATTGGTCATCTTCCTGGAGAGTAATACTAACCTCCTTTGTATGATAAATGCAATTCAGTGGTTGAATTTATAAAGACTTTGCATGTTCACATTAATTTAATATATGTTAGACATAATATTAAGAAATTATATAGATGTAATGTATAGTAACAACTTTTGTGTTATAAAAAATAGAAAGTTAAAATTTCCTAAAAGTTCACGTGGACTTCTTAATTCATAAGGTAGAAAACAAAATTTTCATTGGCATTTCTATATGAGACACTTCATAAGAAAGTAATATTTTTAAATTATGTAGTGACTCTTCTCAAATAATTTTATATTTTAAAATAAAAATATGATACAATTAATGTAGGATGAATATTTATTAATATATGAGATGTTTGTCTATCACCACCTAAAAAGAAAAAAAAAAGTTACATTTTCATATTTATTTGACAAAAACTATAAAGATAAAATAATTAAAAAAATATAAATTTTTGTATTATTTTAAGAAATAAAAAAATAAAAAATAAGTAAGAATAGTGTAAAATATGAATGTAAAATATTTAATTGTGTCAAATAATCTTTATCCAAAAGGAAAATTTGACTTTGTAATAAGGTAACGTAATTCCCTTCCCACGTTTTTTTTAAGAGGTGCATATATTAAGGTTCCAAAGAGATTTATTATAGAAAAACAATTGCAAAGAAAATATCTATCATCAAATTTTCATCTCTGTAGGTATATGGTTTTCTGCAACTCTATTATCGCTTTGCGAAAGTCAAGGTTTCTGTGTGTTCTTTCAGAGTTTGAATATTAGATTTATCTCTCTCTTTTTGTGTTCATTATAAGTTAGTTTGTCACATGATACTATGGAACAGCCCTCAAAGTTTGTTTTTTTGTTTTTTTTTTCAACCAACAGCTTAGTAAAACTCATTTTGGCATTCTTTGAAATATTCTTCTGATCTTATTATAACCAGTAATGAAGCTTTCACGTTATTTGCAGGTTGATATTGATAAGAGATGATGATGAAAACTCATATGAGGAAACAAGTTCTGCTCCAATGGTGGTTTAGAATGGCTTTGCTTCTCAGCTTAATCTTTTTCGGTGCCTGCTCTCGAACTTTTGAAACTGTCTCGTTTAGGTTGTTCCTACTCTCTTTTTTTCTTCATTCAATATCTTTTTCTCTATTCTTATCTTTGTGTGACTGAATAATAAAAAAAGGAAATCATAAGATGAGAAAAACCTTTTGAGTAAATATCACCTCGAGATAAAATACAAATGAGAAATGAATTTGTTTACATAAGATATTGAAATCACGGTTAGATATATAATGTTGTTGTTCAATTCTTTTTAATTTTTTACTTAATACGATTCTTACACTCACATCTGAATATTAAAAAATTATTGAAAAGTATTAATACATAAGAAGAGAGACTAAAACTCATATTAAATTTTTATATATAATTAATAATATGCAAAATAATAAAATACATTAATTAAAAAAGAAAAAACTTAACTAACTATCAAAACTTTTTAATTTTAGAAAACTTCAATAAAGAAGAAAAAACCAAACAACTTAATTTCAATATAAACTTCTATTAATAATAATTAATGGGTACTTAATAAAAACTTCCATTAATAATAATTAATAGATACTTAACTAGAAGAGAGAACTTCATATATGAAATGCTGTATTAAATATTTTTATTTCTATACATAGGATATTCTAGCTGTTCTTTTCTTATTTTCTTTTTTATTCGTGGGTGTCTTCTTTTATTATCTCGTAATCACAACTCATAACAGTCATATTATTTTAAATTACATAATGAATTGATAGTATAAAATATAAAAAAATATGTCTTTATTAAGTCAGAATGGATCCAGTAAAAGAATACTAAAGGGGATTTTTTTTTAGAAATGGAAAATAAGTGAATTTTATGGTTTTTAGTTTGATTAAAATAATGAAAAATTAAATAAAATAAATATATAGTTTTAAAACGAAGATAAGCAAGAAATTATCATTCTTATCTGAAAAATCAAATCTCAACCGCAGTTTTTCAAGCATGCAAAATGAAAACATTTTGAGGTCAGTTCAAATAGCTAGATTTCCAAAAACGTTCTTTTTCATGAATTACAATTCTAATTAAGCACAACATATAGCTTGGACAGGAGAAACATAACGGTTTTGCAGAAATAAATATTAAATTGTATATTATCATTACTATATATATATATATATATATATATATAAATTGTACTTTGTTCACTTGAATAGATGTAGGGGAGTGTGATTGAATGAATTTGAAGGTAAACTTTTTGTTATTTATTTGAGTGGATTTGGAGGTAATAAGCGAGAGTGAATTTGTAAGTAAATTTTTTTAATTTGTCACATTAATCAAATCCTACACTAATTCTCATAAACTTTACTTTCAAATCCACTCTTACTTATCTCCAAATCTCCTTAAATAAACCACAAAAATTTTACTTTTAAATCCTCTTAAATTCATTCAATCATTCTTCCCAAAATACATTCAAGTGAATAAAGTCTTATTTGCATATTGTATATAACTTTTTATATCTATTTTTCTTTTTAAGTTACTCATTATTTTATCTTTTTCTAATAAAAAAATTGTGGAAAATATTTCAGTTAAGTCTCAAGTATTGTCCATATGTTCCCTTTTTTATTTGAATATAACTGCAAATGACAACGTCAAACTTTGAAATGACTTGATTTCATTTTTAACTTTCTCCTTTTCCTGCGATACTCCCACTTGCAGAAGAGGTTTGAAGACTACTCCTGCTGCTGTCAAGCTTAATAAAAATGAAGACCAGGTGATAAATGTTCTTTTTAATGATAGAATTGATTCAGGATATTGAAAAAAAGAAGGAAATAGCCATTAATTTTGGCCTGAATTTTGTCGTCAAATTCATAGGTTTTAACAGTGGAAGTCTTGAGATGATTTTCAGGTAGTGATTGGAAACGGCATAGTTTCCCTCAATTTGTCAAACCCCCAAGGCTATATTATTGGACTATACTATGACGGAACTCAGAATATACTTAGTCAAAAAAACGGAGAATTTGATAGAGGGTATGTGCACATCTTACAACATTATGCTAAATAAATTACATCCCAGTTATCATCGATTTTCTTAAAATGTAAATCATTGAAAAAAAAAAGTTAATTGATCCACATTAAGTCATGGCTAGTTTTACATATATACATAACCTCACTACATATTTATAGGTACTTGGACGTTGTTTGGAACGACGCAGGAAAACCTGGGATCTTTGAGAGGTACACTTTATTTGTATTATTTTACAAAACATTCATTGATTTTCTCTTCTATCTGCAAATTTGATCAACTCCATTCTTGTATCTGCTTAGTAATATGATATATCAATAATAAAAGTGAATATCGAACTTAAATTCACTCATTCGTGTCATTAGTTACTGTCACTATTCTTTGCTAGATAGCAAAAGCAATAATAAAGTAACGTATGCATTGCATGCTTTATGCTCTGTTGCAACTCCAGACGCTCTCTTGCAACTCGACAAATTAATAATTGACATTAAAATGTTTTTTTAACAATTTTTGACATTTTTTTATAATATGTGATATCTTGTGATTAGTCTATTTCAAATACACGGGTCAGTAAAATAGTGATACTTATTTTATTGTCAAAAAAGTTGTTAATTTATTATAATCCTAATTGATAATGTGCTGCAGAATCAATGGGACAAAGTTCTCAGTAATTGAAGCAAGTGATACTGTGGTGGAGGTTTCCTTTTTAAAAACATGGAATGCTGCCATGCAAGGCTCGAGTGTCCCCATAAACATAGACTTAAGGTGTGGATTTTAAACCTAAATTTTTCCTACACTTAGAAACAGATGCAGAATTAGCTCCTCAGCATTGTCCGACATAAACGTATTTTGTTGCAGGTATATATTGCGAAGTGGTGATTCTGGGTTTTATTCATACGCAATATTTACTCGTCCACAGGGATTACCTGCAGTCACGGTTTATCAAATTAGAATAGTTTACAAACTCGACGAAGACAGGTAACTAGCAAACTGTTACTGTCAGACAAGTTAAAAAACATTTGCCTTTGATTTTGGAAAAAATAACGTTAGTAATTTTCATTCCCTCGTAAAAAACAATGTTTGATTAGTTTGAAGGTAGTAACATTTTAAAAGTGGAAGAGTAAAAAACAATGCGTAACTTACCAACCAAACCAATGATGCAGGTTCCACTATATGGCCATATCTGATACAAGGCAAAGAAGGATGCCAACTGCAGAAGACAGAAGAACGGGCAAGGTGCTGGCGTATCCTGAAGCTGTTCTCTTAACCAATGCAACTGACCCACAAATTCGAGGAGAGGTGATTCTTTCTTTGGTTATGCCTCTGGTTGAATTGACATTGATTTTTTCTATTTTTCATTTTGTTGCCTTTAATGTGTGTGAACCGAATACATGTTTGTTGGGTTTAGGTTGATGATAAATATCAATACTCGACAGAGAACAAAGATAACTCTGTTCATGGGTGGATTGCAGAGGATGATTCAGCACCAGTGGGTTTCTGGGTGATAACTCCCAGTAATGAGTTCCGCAATGCTGGGCCCGTTAAACAAGAACTCACTTCTCATGTTGGCTCAACTTCTCTTTCCGTAAGACCTAACAAATCCTTGAATTCATCAACAATTCCTTATTAGAGTTTCCTCTTGTATTAAATAGATAATTGGTATTAAACATGTTACAGAAAATTATAATACTATGTTAAACATGTTTGAATGTTATCATCCAGATTAATACTGCTTTAATTCTGTTTTTCGTTGTTGTTTTTGTTCTACTAAGTTTTTTATTTTTCTGTGTGCAGATGTTTACCAGCACTCATTATGCTGGCAAGGAGGCAGTCATTGCCTTTGATGAAGGGGAGACTTATAAAAAGGTTTTTGGGCCAATTTTTCTTTACCTTAACTCTGCTCCAACGAAAACTCAGTTTAAGTCTCTGTGGTCAGATGCTGTAACACAGGTACTTATTGTTACCTTTAACACTTACAAACAATTATTCATTGTACATTATTCCAGTTAAGTATTATATTATGACACGTTATATTGTTGTTCTTTGGTAAATTAGTTATCCAATGAAGAAAAAAAATGGCCTTATGATTTCATCGGATCAAAAGATTTCATTCCACCCAGTCAACGGGGAATGGTGTCAGGAAAACTTCAAGTTAAAGATGGGTATATATGATAATACTTTATTTGTCTTCATTTTATTGTTTGATTACAAAGAATCAACTAATATAGGTGAGCTGAATTCCTAATTGCTTCTAATTCATCAGGGGAGGGACGGCTCAACCAGCTAAAAGTTCTTACGTTGGTCTAGCTTTACCTGGAGATGCAGGATCATGGCAAATAGAAAGCAAGGTACAATTGGTGTAGGAGTCAATCAGTTTTAATTTCTTTAACTTTGAATGGCTAGTGAAACATTCAGCTGAAAATTGTTTTACCTGTACATGATCGATATTCACAGGGTTATCAATTCTGGACTCAAACTGACGAAGATGGAAGCTTCTCAATTACAAATATTGTACCTGGGATTTACACCTTGTATGCATGGGTCCCTGGTTTCATTGGAAATTATAAATATGAAGTCAATGTTGATATCAAACCAGGTAACATTTCTTCTTCTCTCAAGTATGTTAAGTATAGATTTCCAAAGATTTAAACTTGTGGAGCAATTGATTCATGGCCTGGGATTAGAATATAGATAACTTTTGTTGCCTTACTGAAAAGTTAGTTTTCAGCATAAGGCACAGTAAACCTGTGCATAGTTAACCCTTCAAGCTCTAATTATTTGAATGTTAAATCGTTTGTGTGATTTTACAATTTCACTTAATAATTTAAACTTTGGAGATGTTAGTAAATACCCAAATTAATTATAACTTGTTTCCTAAGATAATAACTTGCATGTAAAATGTGCTGTAGGAGGCAACATCAACTTGGGTTCACTTGTATACAATCCTCCAAGAAATGGTCCTACTTTGTGGGAAATTGGGATCCCAGATAGGTCAGCTGCAGAGTTCCATGTACCAGACGTTTACCCAGAGCTTGAAAACAAATTGTACCTAAATGATAAAAAAGACGGGTTAGCCCAAAACTCATTGTCAACAACAAATTTTGACACTTTATTTTCAGTTTTTCTGAAAGTATTTCTACCGTGACAGGTTTAGGCAATACGGTTTGTGGAAACGTTACACTGATTTATATCCAACAAAAGATCTCATTTTCACAGTCGGTGTTTCTGACTATCATAAGGATTGGTTTTATGCTCAAGTTACCAGGTAAATTTTGTTTAACATGTAGAAATTTTATGATTGTCATCATCAGTTTTCTCTTCTAAATTACGCATTGATGCATGCAGGAGCACAAACACGAGTAAATTCATACCAACCACTTGGCAGATTCAATTCCAGCTTGAGAATATCATAATGGGAGCAAACTACACACTGCAATTGGCCTTGGCATCTGCCACTAATTCTAAATTGGAGGTAGAAAAATTTACTTTGTCCATAATTGATCTTTGTTTTCTGCTATGACTGTGGTGTCTAACTTGTTTTGGGATGAACGATCAGGTTAGGTTCAACAACCCGAATTCAAACCCTCCAGACTTCTCAACAGAAAAGCTAATTGGCAACGATAATGCCATAGCAAGGCACGGCATCCATGGATTGTATGATTTGTATAGTGTAGGTGTAGACAGTAATCAATTGGTAAAAGGAAAAAACACCATCTATTTGACACAGTCAAATGCCAAAACTCTATTTGAAGGAATTATGTATGATTATATTCGTTTGGAAAGTCCTACAACTAACGAATAAATTTTGTTGTGCCTTGAACTTGTAGTTGAGCAATCATTAGGATTCTCTCTTCTTGTAATTCGCAGACAAGCACAACATCTGCTTTGGCTATCATATAGGAATCATGAAATCATGATCAAAGAATAAAATCACTATTTTCATTTAATATACATGTGCCTTCTTGCTTGTTGTATTTTTATTACGAAAAATATTGATATTAAGAGATGGATACGTTGCTGATTTTTTCTTATTACTATTCCATGTGCTGATTAAAAATATTAAGAGAAATTCATTAAAAATTTGATGTATTCAGTGCTTATACTAATGTAAAAAGAAGCTTCCGTAATGTCAAATAATGACAGTTAAAAAATCAACGTTGTAAAATAAGCCCAGTGGTATTTTGCAATTTCAGCAAACTTTTTCACAACAGTTTTAGTAACTATCGTTAAAAGTTCAAAATGATGACGGTTATATTAAGAATCATTGTTAAAAGTAGGACAGATAATAAATAACAATGGTTAAATAAAGAACCATCATTTAAAGTNTACATATATACATAACCTCACTACATATTTATAGGTACTTGGACGTTGTTTGGAACGACGCAGGAAAACCTGGGATCTTTGAGAGGTACACTTTATTTGTATTATTTTACAAAACATTCATTGATTTTCTCTTCTATCTGCAAATTTGATCAACTCCATTCTTGTATCTGCTTAGTAATATGATAAATCAATAATAAAAGTGAATATCGAACTTAAATTCACTCATTCGTGTCATTAGTTACTGTCACTATTCTTTGCTAGATAGCAAAAGCAATAATAAAGTAACGTATGCATTGCATGCTTTATGCTCTGTTGCAACTCCAGACGCTCTCTTGCAACTCGACAAATTAATAATTGACATTAAAATGTTTTTTTAACAATTTTTGACATTTTTTTATAATATGTGATATCTTGTGATTAGTCTATTTCAAATACACGGGTCAGTAAAATAGTGATACTTATTTTATTGTCAAAAAAGTTGTTAATTTATTATAATCCTAATTGATAATGTGCTGCAGAATCAATGGGACAAAGTTCTCAGTAATTGAAGCAAGTGATACTGTGGTGGAGGTTTCCTTTTTAAAAACATGGAATGCTGCCATGCAAGGCTCGAGTGTCCCCATAAACATAGACTTAAGGTGTGGATTTTAAACCTAAATTTTTCCTACACTTAGAAACAGATGCAGAATTAGCTCCTCAGCATTGTCCGACATAAACGTATTTTGTTGCAGGTATATATTGCGAAGTGGTGATTCTGGGTTTTATTCATACGCAATATTTACTCGTCCACAGGGATTACCTGCAGTCACGGTTTATCAAATTAGAATAGTTTACAAACTCGACGAAGACAGGTAACTAGCAAACTGTTACTGTCAGACAAGTTAAAAAACATTTGCCTTTGATTTTGGAAAAAATAACGTTAGTAATTTTCATTCCCTCGTAAAAAACAATGTTTGATTAGTTTGAAGGTAGTAACATTTTAAAAGTGGAAGAGTAAAAAACAATGCGTAACTTACCAACCAAACCAATGATGCAGGTTCCACTATATGGCCATATCTGATACAAGGCAAAGAAGGATGCCAACTGCAGAAGACAGAAGAACGGGCAAGGTGCTGGCGTATCCTGAAGCTGTTCTCTTAACCAATGCAACTGACCCACAAATTCGAGGAGAGGTGATTCTTTCTTTGGTTATGCCTCTGGTTGAATTGACATTGATTTTTTCTATTTTTCATTTTGTTGCCTTTAATGTGTGTGAACCGAAGACGTGTTTGTTGGGTTTAGGTTGATGATAAATATCAATACTCGACAGAGAACAAAGATAACTCTGTTCATGGGTGGATTGCAGAGGATGATTCAGCACCAGTGGGTTTCTGGGTGATAACTCCCAGTAATGAGTTCCGCAATGCTGGGCCCGTTAAACAAGAACTCACTTCTCATGTTGGCTCAACTTCTCTTTCCGTAAGACCTAACAAATCCTTGAATTCATCAACAATTCCTTATTAGAGTTTCCTCTTGTATTAAATAGATAATTGGTATTAAACATGTTACAGAAAATTATAATACTATGTTAAACATGTTTGAATATTATCATCCAGATTAATACTGCTTTAATTCTGTTTTCGTTGTTGTTTTTGTTCTACTAAGTTTTTTATTTTTCTGTGTGCAGATGTTTACCAGCACTCATTATGCTGGCAAGGAGGCAGTCATTGCCTTTGATGAAGGGGAGACTTATAAAAAGGTTTTTGGGCCAATTTTTCTTTACCTTAACTCTGCTCCAACGAAAACTCAGTTTAAGTCTCTGTGGTCAGATGCTGTAACACAGGTACTTATTGTTACCTTTAACACTCACAAACAATTATTCATTGTACATTATTCCAGTTAAGTATTATATTATGACACGGCATATTGTTGTTCTTTGGTAAATTAGTTATCCAATGAAGAAAAAAAATGGCCTTATGATTTCATCGGATCAAAAGATTTCATTCCACCCAGTCAACGGGGAATGGTGTCAGGAAAACTTCAAGTTAAAGATGGGTATATATGATAATACTTTATTTGTCTTCATTTTATTGTTTGATTACAAAGAATCAACTAATATAGGTGAGCTGAATTCCTAATTGCTTCTAATTCATCAGGGGAGGGACGGCTCAACCAGCTAAAAGTTCTTACGTTGGTCTAGCTTTACCTGGAGATGCAGGATCATGGCAAATAGAAAGCAAGGTACAATTGGTGTAGGAGTCAATCAGTTTTAATTTCTTTAACTTTGAATGGCTAGTGAAACATTCAGCTGAAAATTGTTTTACCTGTACATGATCGATATTCACAGGGTTATCAATTCTGGACTCAAACTGACGAAGATGGAAGCTTCTCAATTACAAATATTGTACCTGGGATTTACACCTTGTATGCATGGGTCCCTGGTTTCATTGGAAATTATAAATATGAAGTCAATGTTGATATCAAACCAGGTAACATTTCTTCTTCTCTCAAGTATGTTAAGTATAGATTTCCAAAGATTTAAACTTGTGGAGCAATTGATTCATGGCCTGGGATTAGAATATAGATAACTTTTGTTGCCTTACTGAAAAGTTAGTTTTCAGCATAAGGCACAGTAAACCTGTGCATAGTTAACCCTTCAAGCTCTAATTATTTGAATGTTAAATCGTTTGTGTGATTTTACAATTTCACTTAATAATTTAAACTTTGGAGATGTTAGTAAATACCCAAATTAATTATAACTTGTTTCCTAAGATAATAACTTGCATGTAAAATGTGCTGTAGGAGGCAACATCAACTTGGGTTCACTTGTATACAATCCTCCAAGAAATGGTCCTACTTTGTGGGAAATTGGGATCCCAGATAGGTCAGCTGCAGAGTTCCATGTACCAGACGTTTACCCAGAGCTTGAAAACAAATTGTACCTAAATGATAAAAAAGACGGGTTAGCCCAAAACTCATTGTCAACAACAAATTTTGACACTTTATTTTCAGTTTTTCTGAAAGTATTTCTACCGTGACAGGTTTAGGCAATACGGCTTGTGGAAACGTTACACTGATTTATATCCAACAAAAGATCTCATTTTCACAGTCGGTGTTTCTGACTATCATAAGGATTGGTTTTATGCTCAAGTTACCAGGTAAATTTTGTTTAACATGTAGAAATTTTATGATTGTCATCATCAGTTTTCTCTTCTAAATTACGCATTGATGCATGCAGGAGCACAAACACGAGTAAATTCATACCAACCACTTGGCAGATTCAATTCCAGCTTGAGAATATCATAATGGGAGCAAACTACACACTGCAATTGGCCTTGGCATCTGCCACTAATTCTAAATTGGAGGTAGAAAAATTTACTTTGTCCATAATTGATCTTTGTTTTCTGCTATGACTGTGGTGTCTAACTTGTTTTGGGATGAACGATCAGGTTAGGTTCAACAACCCGAATTCAAACCCTCCAGACTTCTCAACAGAAAAGCTAATTGGCAACGATAATGCCATAGCAAGGCACGGCATCCATGGATTGTATGAGTTGTATAGTGTAGGTGTAGACAGTAATCAATTGGTAAAAGGAAAAAACACCATCTATTTGACACAGTCAAATGCCAAAACTCTATTTGAAGGAATTATGTATGATTATATTCGTTTGGAAAGTCCTACAACTAACGAATAAATTTTGTTGTGCCTTGAACTTGTAGTTGAGCAATCATTAGGATTCTCTCTTCTTGTAATTCGCAGACAAGCACAACATCTGCTTTGGCTATCATATAGGAATCATGAAATCATGATCAAAGAATAAAATCACTATTTTCATTTAATATACATGTGCCTTCTTGCTTGTTGTATTTTTATTACGAAAAATATTGATATTAAGAGATGGATACGTTGCTGATTTTTTCTTATTACTATTCCATGTGCTGATTAAAAATATTAAGAGAAATTCATTAAAAATTTGATGTATTCAGTGCTTATACTAATGTAAAAAGAAGCTTCCGTAATGTCAAATAATGACAGTTAAAAAATCAACGTTGTAAAATAAGCCCAGTGGTATTTTGCAATTTCAGCAAACTTTTTCACAACAGTTTTAGTAACTATCGTTAAAAGTTCAAAATGATGACGGTTATATTAAGAATCATTGTTAAAAGTAGGACAGATAATAAATAACAATGGTTAAATAAAGAACCATCATTTAAAGTGTAGTACATCACTGTTCATCAAAAAAAGAAAAGAAAAGCGTGAGCTTCTTTCCCCAACTTGACTTCTATATGAGCATTTTTCTCTTCTTCTGCATTTTCATTTTCACTTTGCATTAACCTTCATCACATGTTGCAAAATTTTCATTTTCTCTTTGCATTAACCTTCATCACATGTTGCAAAATACTATCGATCTTGTTGCACGTTGTGAGTCTATGTTGTATCATGTTATAAGTCACGCTACTAGACTCTTTCATAAAGCTCCCTACCTGTTGTGAGCTCCTTTACAAAGCTCTCTGCATTGTGTCACAAAACTCTTTGTCGTGAGTCTCCTCCTTACCATAAAACCCTCATTGTGAGCTTTCCTCCTCACACTGGTGTCACAGCCACCATTGTTGCAATAGTTGGTGATGAATCACTATTTTGTACTATTCACTTAACTTTTCGCACCATATTATATTAGTGAATTGTGTTTAATTCTTCATTATTGTCTCATTTCCATTATTTGGGCTTAATTTGACTAATAATTCTCATTTTAATTAATTTGAATTATTTGGTCTTAGTTATTCTAATTATTAATTGCAGGAAAAAATAGGAATCATATTTTTGGACAAGAAGAGTTTGGTCACATCAACATTATAGTTTAATTTCGTTTTGAATTCGTTTATAATATAATTGGGTCAAACTTTATGACTTTGGACCCATTTTTGGTCAACATTTAGAAGAAGCCCATTTAGAGGATATTTTCGTCTTTTGGGGTTTTTAAATACCCAAATCAGATTTAGGTCACTTCCTCTCCCCTCTTTTCACGTTTTCTCTCTCTAGGTTTCCTAGCATTGGGCGTTTTCCACACCCCCCCTTGTGGGGGGTTTAGGTTTTGTTCTCTTTTGCCTATTTTTGTATTGAATCTCATTTTTATTGCAAATTAATTTTGTTTTCTATTTGTACTCTTCATTTTGCGTTTTTTATTTCATTCTTGCGTTAGCATTTCTATTTTGTGCAGATTTCCAGCTTCCATTTCCATTTCAGCGTTTTGAATTCATGTTTTGTTTCATTTTCCATTTGATTTTCGCATTCCAGCTTTGATTTTCGTTGTGCATTTTCGTCCTGATATAATATTGATTTCCAGTACTGTATTATTGTTTGGGTTTCGTCTTTAATGTTAGTTTATATTCGCTTGGTTGATCATTAGCGAAATTGCATCGTTTCCTTGAGATTTCCTGATGGTAATTGTGTTTCTGCTGCTCTAACTTGGCTAATATTGAATCTGTTTTGTGCTTGCGATTGGATATACGCTTAATTGCTTAATTGGTGTCTAATCTTCGCTTAGTTGATGAAACTGTATGGTGTAGAATTGGTTGAATATTAGCATTGTGTTTGCTTAATTCACCTTTATGAAAATATGGTTAGTCTTCGCTTAGTTCGTTAACTTATGTTTGATTAGGAGTTAGAGTAGTGTTTATTTGTTGTTAATTTGTGATTGGAATCATTGTAATTGAGTTAATGACCAACTGTTTAAAATTATTGTTCAATTCGTGTTTTAATTGCTTCATTTCAGTTCACAAAATCTCTTCACAAAACCCCTCACTAAGTGTTCGACCTATTGACTGGACCAATATTTGGTCCTTGAGAGAGGACCTAGGAGTCACTTCCTAGTCTATATTGCACTTAATTGCATATTAATTTGACTTGGGTGCGACCTCGATCAGTTGGTTACGCCACCCGTTTTCAGTACTCTGACCATAAAAATGTGTGAGCTTTTCTTCCCATTTGCATTTTCTCTTGCTTTTATTTATCACCCATTTTATGATTTCACACAATTGTGGCTATTGTTGGTTACTCCAAATGTTCCTATTGGATTATTGGGTTCCTTACCTATGTGGAGAATAAGTCCAAAAATTGTGGATCATTATGTCCTCGGTGGAGATGGATCAGATTATTAGGGCACATTAGAGTCATTTGAAGAGAAGAAAAAGTCGAGAGAGAAAGGAAGAGAGAAAGTATTTCCCGCATAATACAAAGTCTGCACTAATGTTTTCGTCATTACGAAGTCTTCATCGTTGGATCTAGCTGATTTTTGGACAATGGGTTCTAGACGTAAGGTTCTTCATTCTGACCGTTTGGATTGTTAATCAGTGGTCTAGTTTCGGAGAAAATAGTCTCGCATCAGCAACTTTATTTTAGAGAAGTTTCATCTTCTTTGTTTTCATTTGTAGGCATTTGTACTTAGTTAGTTTGACTTATTGAAAACATCATTTGATGTTTTTTTATTGGAGACTCTTTTCTACCATATTATTGATCATAGTAGATTTTTTCTTTGGTCCAGATAACTCTTGATTTTTACCCTTGCTTTGAGGGGTTTTCCAAGTTAAAAATTGTTGGTGTCTCTTTGTGCTTTGCATTCTATTTTTATTCTATTAGTTTGATGCTCCTCGCAGATTATCGCAAGAAGGGAGGTAGAATTTCTGCAGCGTTATTACTCTTTGTTAAGTTACTATTATTTTTGGCTTTTTCCCATCAAAGTGGTATCAGATTTAGCTTTTTGGTTAAGGGACTATTTAGCTTGCGTGAATGATGGAATCACATACTAAATTGATTCCTTTGAATGGAGAAAATTATCACCTATGGAAGGGCAAGATGAAGGACTTGCTATTTGTGAAAAATTTGCATCTTCCTTTTTTTGCTTCCAATAAACCAGAATCCAAGTGAGATGACGAATGAGATTTTAAACATTAATAGGTATTTGGATTTATTAGGCAGTTTGTTGATGATAATGTTTATAATTTTGCTGTTAATGATACACATGCAGGAAGCCTATGAGATAAGCTTAAGTCCTTATATGCTTCTAACTCAAAGACTAATAAATTGTACTTGTTGGAAATTTTTTTGCAGTTGAAGTACAAGGAAAGAACTCCTATTTCAAATCACTTGGGTGAATTTCAAGGACATTATGATCACTTAGCAGGTGTGAGTATAAATTTGATGATGATCTATTGTGACTATTCCTATTAAACTCTTTACCAAATTTGTGGGAGATATTTCGGATTTTCATGATCAGTGCTACCCAATGGTTATATTTCTTTGCAAATGGAAGAAAGTGGTGCACTTAATGAGGAGATAAGAAGGAAGACACATGATAATTCATCGCATTCAGAAGTGCTTGTTACAAATAATAGTGGGAGAAGCCAAAAGAAAGAACAAAATAGTGGTAAAGATAAAAACAAAACAGGGCATATAAAGAAGAACTATATTTTTTAGAAGAAAGAAAGCAAAAACAAAATGGGTAAGCAAAGAGAAAGAGATCATGATTATGGGATTATATTATTACTATTACATGTGGTGACATATTTTATTTTCGTGATTATGACATTATTAATCTTGTATCCGATGAGAGCATGTGGATAATTGATAGTGGTGCTACAATGCATGTTACATCCAAGAAGGAGTTCTTCACATTTTATACACCTAGTGATTTTGGAGTATTGAAAATGGATAATGATGAGGTGTCTAAGGTTATTCGTGTTGGTGATGTTCACTTGCAAACCAACGTAGGGATGCAGTTGTTGCTTAAAGGAGTTAAACATGCTCTAAATGTTTGCTTTAACTTGATTTTTGTGTAGGTACTTAATGATGATGGATATGATAATCACTTTGGTTCTAAAAAGTGGAAGCTCACCAAAGGTAACTTGATTATGGCCAAAGGGGAGAAAAACATTAAGCTTTACTAGACAAAAGCTTTAGTTGCTAAAGACAATGTGAATGTCGTGTATATGGAGTCATCTTTGTGGCACTGAAGACTTGTGCATATCAGGGAAAAGGGACTTAACTACTTAGCTAAAAAAGATATTTCAAGATTGAAGAATGCATAGTTAGATAAATGTTCTCATTGCATGATTGGTAAACAAACCACAATATCCTTCAGGAAGCATCATTCCTTTAGGAAGTCGAAGCTGCTTGAATTGGTGCATTCTGATGTTTGTGGCCCATTGAAGGTAAAGTCTTTTACTGGTGCACTTTACTTTGTTACTTTTATTAATAATTTTTCTAGGAAGCTTTAGGTCTATGCACTATAGATAAAAGACCAAGTGTTGGAAAAGTTTAAGGAAATTCATGCTTTGGTTGAGAAGCAGTCAGACAAGAAGTTGAAGCACATTCTTACTGATAATATTGGTGAATATTGTGGCCCATTCTATGCTTAATATAGGAAGTATGGTACTACACATGAGAAGAGTCTTCCCCTAACTCCTTAGTTGAATGGTTTAGCAGAGAGATCAAACAAGACTTTGATTGAAAGAGTTAGGTGTATGCTTTCTAAAGTAAAATTGCCTAAGCATTTCTAGGGTGAGGCATTGCTTACAACAGTGCATGTCATTAATCTAAGTCCTGCAGTTGTTTTGAACTCTAAGGTACCAAACAAAATTTGGTTTGGCAAGAATGTTACCTATGATCATTTGTGTGTCTTTGACTGTAAAACATTTGTTCATGTTTGTTGGGACTTTATCTCGGCAAGTGCACTGAATCGCATCAAGTAATAAAC